ATGGCAATCGTTCCCTCCTGACTAAGGAAAGTATAACACTGGAAGTTGATCGAATGCTGCACCCTATTCGGACGCAAAATGATCCATAGGTTACTTAGTATTGTATGTGGGCGTTGAATAACCTAAAGTGGTTCATATATCAGATACGACTTCATTGCAGAGTAAAACCACGAACATGGAAAAAGCTACAGATGCTTCCATTTTCGTCACTAGCCATATTAGCTATCAACTCGCGAGAAACCAGAGAGAAAAGGTGATCGGAGCGAATGAAGTGTTCGTTGCGTTCGCTGCTTAACTCTGCATTCTATGCTCAAAAACTACAAGTATAGCCTAAAATGCCTCCAAAAATACTCCATCCGGGATCCGCACCCATATTTCGTATCTCTATCTGCTGGCTATTCTTGTAGACAAAAGCTGCTCAAAGTGATCCTATAACCAAATTGTAACTCCATGGCATAAGCCAGAGCAGCTGCGGCAGTAGTTTTTCTCCTGATGTCCCGATATACCTCGTCACAGAACACCTTCCCGTTATGTCAACTCTGAGATCTGAATGTACCGTATAAATACAGTGGAAAGAACAGAGCAGCATCCTCCATCAAACATAACATTCTTACATTTTGACTCCACCAAGAATTTCTCAGCTCTACATTGCAGGATGAGGCTTCTCATACTCGCTTTGCTGGTGGCTGTCTGCGTGAGCGCCGACTTGTTGGACCTCAAAAAGACGCTTGCGGTCGGAAGCCTCAAGGGTCTAATCAAAGAAAAAGTGACATCCAAGATAAAAAAGACAATGGATCGCATCAAGGAGGTATTATGTTTCTGACACTCTGTGAGAACTCAGCATAGCTCCTTGTAAATATATGTAGGTTTTCAATGGTAACATGCTCGAATTCCGGAAAAAGTTGAGCGGATACAAAGACGCAATTTTGAAGAAGCTTACTCTGAGCCCAGAGCAAAGAAAGGAGCTTGTGGAAAGGCTGAAGGTGAAACTTGTACTTTTACTGTTTCATGAATGTTAATCATGGATACTTTAGATGTTCAAAAGGAAAACTATCGATCAAGTCTCACCAGCTGGGGACTCCATTGAAGAGATCAACTTGAGAAGTCAAATTGCAGGAGCACTCTTCCAGGGAGATATGGTTCCTTTCGAAGTTTGTACCTCCACTTCTTCGATTTCTTGACAAGGACAACATGAAGCGTATTAAGGGAACAACAAGATCAAATTGCTGCGGATGTTAGTGGAACTCGTACCAAACGGCAGACTTACAATGATAAAGATTACCCTGGTAGAAGATGGACGAAAGGAGTCAACTACTTTTTCGACAAAAGTGCAAGTCAGCTGCCCGTAGTCTTCTCGTTCATGAACGCAAAAAATATTGGCAACAATTAGCTTACTACTTGCAGGTGAAAAGGTTAAGAGTGTATTCAAGAAAGCGGCGCGTGAATGGATGGATAATACCTGCATCAACTTCACACAAAGCGATTCCGGTAAATTTTAAGCTGTTATTGTTTGATAACTGCTGTTTAACGCCGCAGTGCGCGATACGAAAGTTATCACAAGAATGCTGAGTTGTGGGCAAGAGTCACGGACGGGATCCCGTCCGTGGTCCGACTTTTGCCCACAACTCAGCATTCTTGTGATTCCGGTGAAGTTGGAATAGTTGTCGATGATGGTAAGATACCACTGGACGCCTAAATTTCAGCTCAGGACAGCATTCGTGTGTTCATGGAAGATGGATGTTGGTCTTTCGTTGGCAGACTTGGAGGCGTACAAAACCTCTCACTTGGCGAAGGCTGTGACTCGGTATGTTTTAATAAATCTTCCTTCTAGACTCACGGTGCTCACAGAAAAATGAGTCCAGCAAAAAAGAACGTTATTTTCTTGTAAAGCCCTTATGATGCAGTTATGTTCTCTTCCATGCTTCAGATCGGAACCGCTGCCCACGAGCTGGGTCATGCCCTTGGATTCTTCCACACGCACTCGCGACATGATCGCGATCGGTTCATCACAGTTGACAAAGAAAATATCAAGGTAAGTTTTGGATTTGATGGAAACGCTTCATAATGTCACTGAATACTTCAGCCTGACTGGCTAGACCAATTCACACTGGAGACGCCGGCAACTAACAACAATTATAATTTGACAT